TCCAATGCCAGGAAAGGAGAGAGAGAAAAGGGAGGCTGAGCCATCCCAGTCCCTGCCTTGCCTTGCCTTGCCTTGCCTTTCCAGCCTCCTCCTCCTCCTCCTCCTCCTCCTCTGCTCTCTTGAGAGGTCCTAACCCCAACGGAAGGGGGTTAGGACCTGTGCAGGAGGACATGACCCCAAATGGAGGACAGTCTGACATTTCCTCCTGGGAAATGCAGGACTCGCCCTGGAAAAGGAGGAGTCTGGTCACAAAACACACCCATTTCCAGTACATGTATGGGTTCTTTTCACTTGTGTATGAAAGTTAAAAATGTCTTTTTTTCGCTTTTAACTTAATTCCATTATTACTGTAATTATGTGTGAAAAGCTTTTGTGCAATTAAGCTCTATTTTTGCTTTCTTTTCGGGATGCTTCATTTCCACTTTATTATCTCTTTAACAACGAAACTGGCCCACGTGTGATAACATCCTTAGGCAGAAAAAAAAGAAAGAAATGAATCGATATAGGATGAGTGTCATCTGGCGTGACAACAGTGAAAGGGATGTGTTCTAGTAGACCACAAGTCGAACATGGATCAGCAGTATGTAGAGAGCTCTTGTAGCACCTTTGAGACTAACTGAAATAAATAAATTGGCAGCATGAGGTTTTATAGACTTCAGTCTACTTCCTCAGATGCATTTGGTGGAGTGAATCAGCAGTGTGATGCAGCAGTTTAAAAAAAGCCAATGCAATTCTAGGCTGCATCAATAGAAGTATAGTGTCTAGGTCGAGGGAAGTAATTGTGCCACTTTATTCTGTTTTGGTCAGGCCTCACCTGGAATAATACTGTGTCGAGTTCTGGGCATCACAATTCAAAAAGGAGGTTGATAAGCTGGAGCGTGTCCAGAGGAGGGTGACCAAAATGGTGAAAGGTCTCCTTTCAGACTTATGGTGACCCGGTAGTGAACCTATCATTTTTTTTTCTTGGCAAGATTTGTTCAGAGCAGGTTTGCCATTGCCTTCCCCTGAGGACAAGAGAGTATGACTTGCCCAAGGTCATCCAATGGGTTTCATGGTCCAGTGGGGAACTGAACACTGGTCACCAGAGTCATAGTCCAACACTCAAACTACTACGCCACGCTGGCTCTCTCATTCATAGGCTTCCCAAAAGCAGAAGCCGACATGATGGTGTTTAACAACAGTAACAGTACTTTTTAGGAGTCTATGTGCCTCCCCAAGGGTCACAGGGGCTGAAATTTGATGTCTGAATTTGCCACTGTTGCCTGCCCTAATTTAGAGGTTTTAAGTGCACATGATTGCACATGGTTATGAGTCTTGAGGTTAAGATTCTGCAATAATCCATCACTGACTGCGCTGCATTTTCCTCTCCCACATATGTTCCTCTCACATGTTCTGTGCTCTCACTAACTAGTTGCGAGAAGCAGAGAAGTATGCAACCAATTTGCAAGTCATTTTTATCATTCTTTAAAAGAGGGCAAAGTTCCTTGTTTGATGCATACGGAGCTTCACAAGCTCAGACACGTGCTCCATCCACCCCCTTCTTCTTCCGAAGAGGAAGAAGCAGTACACAGATGAGTAGCTGAAGAGGGAAAAAGAAGCTGCTTTGCCCAAACAGGGAACACTGAATGCACAAGCTAAGAAGCAGATAATACACTCGGGGATCTTGGATTTCTGTTGGTGAATTGTGTAGGTGTAACTGCTATGTGTAGGCAGTGGTGACAGGAGGGGAAAAAGTCTGGGAGCACAGAGGAAGAAGGTTCTGAAGAAGCTGGCTGCTCAGAGGAGGGAGATTTTGGGCAAAATTCATCATCACATACATAACATTCACACATGCAGCTCTGTACCCAACACTCAGGAATCCTGGATTTCTTCTGATGAATTATGTAGGTGTAACTGCCCTATTATGAGTATGGATATGAGATCTGGCCAGTTAAAAGAGATAGAAAGAAAATCAATTCATTTGAGATGTGGGGCCGGAGAACAATTCTGAGGATACCATGGACAGCCAAAAAGACAAACAAGTGGGTCCTTGAACAGATCAAGCCTGAAATCTTCCTGGAAGCCAAGAGGATTAAGTTGAGGCTGTCGAACTTTGGCCACATCGTGAGAAGACATGAATTGTTAGAAAAGACAATAATGCTAGGAAAAGTGGAGGGAGGTCGAAAGAGAGGAAGACTGCAAGCCCACGGTCACCCAGTGGGTTTCATGGCTGAACTGAGTATCAAATCCTGGTCACCAGAGTCATAGTCCAGCACTCAAACCACTACACCACACTGGCTATCACAGGGTTTTCTTGACAAGATTTGTTCAGAGGAGATTTGCCATTGCCTTCTCTTGAGGCTGAGAGAGGGTGACTTGCTCATGGTCACCCAGTGGGTTTCGTGGCTGAGCTGGGAGTCAAACCCTGGTTTCCAGAGTCATAGGACGTTATCACATGGGGAGCTGCAGGGAGAAAGTGGAAATAAACCGGACGAGCGGAAGACTTTAATTTACGGGATTTGTCCCATTCCGCCTCGTCTGATAACTAAATTCGAATTTAAAAGGGGGTTAATTCGAACAAAAACCTGAACTTTTCAAATCCTCAAAAATCCCGAAAATGAAGAGAGCAAGCCAGAGTATTCTGGCCAATGTAGACTCACCCCAGGACAGGCAGAGGGATAAACAGAAGAAGAGATTCACTTGCAAGAGTCCAGAAAACAGAGCAGGGTCTCTGAGCTGGCTTGGATGCTTTTTCTACAGAATGGGTGATAGGTATTGCTCCCAGCAACTGGCAAGTGTTTGCTGCCTGCTTTGTTTATTTATTCCATTTCATTTGTATGTCGCCTTTCTCCCAGTAGGGTGGCTCACAGATAAAAACATTTTAAAATCTCAATAAAATTCAAAACAATTAAAATCATCTACACACAAGATAAAAACCACATAAAAATATACAAAAGTTAAAAGCACAACTAAAACCCACCTGCTTCATAAAATGTTGTTGTGTTGTTGCTGTCTCTGTTGTTGCTGTTGTGTGCCTTCAAGTCATTTCTGGCTTATGGTGACCCTAAGGCAATCCTATCACAGGGTTTATTTGCATGAGTTGTTCAGAGGAGGTTTGCCATGGCCTTCCCCTGAGGATGAGAGAATGTGACTTGCCCAAGGTCATCCAGTGGGTTTCATGGCTAAACTGGAATTCGAATCCTGGTCTCCAGAATCATAGTCCAACACTCAAACCATTACGCCATACTCTGCCTTATCTAGATAGGCTTATTTTCAGTGAGAATGGCTGAAGCAGCACTACTGAGTTGCAAGTGTGTCAAGCACTTCCCCAAACCCTTTTGTATTGCTGCTATCCCAGAGGGAGGCATGACAGCATGTGGCAACCATATACCACCTGTAATCTTCACTGTATTTTCATTTATAGCTTTCATATTTCTTCAACTGGCTTGTGGTTTATAAAAATCATCTCAACTTGAATTGCCTATACATTACTTTTAGCATCAGAGGAAGTATGACTCTGGCTGCTGCTACACTGCAGAAACAAATTAGTTTGTTGTTGTTGTGTGCCTTCAAGTCGTATCATGGGGTTTTCTTGGCAAGATTTGTTCAGAGGAAGTTTGCCATTACTTTCCCCTGGGGCTGAGAGGGTGTGACTTGTCCAAGGTCACCCAGCGAGTTTCACGGCAGAGCTGGGAATTGAACCCTGGTCTCCAGAGTCACAGTCCCACACTCAAACCACTACGCCACACTGCAGTTTCACACCACTTTAACCTCCGTGGCTCAATGTTCAGGGAATCTGGGATTTGTAGCTTGGTGTTGCACCAGAATATTCTGACCAGGAAGGCTAAATAGCTCACAAAACTACAAATCCCAGAGTTCCATAGTACTGTGACAATGGCAGTTAAAGTGGTGTCAAACTGCTTTATTTCTTCACTATAGCACCACTATAGCAGAACTTGGATGGGGGGGGGTAGGCTTCAACTCATGGCCTCTTGCTTGGAGACTTCTCATGGGCATCAGGTTCCCCACTGTGCTCTGATCCAGCAAGTCTCTTTCTTAAATCTTCTTATGCTGGAACCTATTTGTGCATGAAGCAGAAGAAAGAATCCGGACATGAAAAAGATATGAAAGGAAGCGGTGGTGAGTGGAAACTAATGGAGGATTTGATTTCTCTTGTGTTTGACTTGAGACATCTTTTGGGGTTTGTTTTTGCTGCAACAAACTCTCCCATCACGTGATAGAAAACAAAGGGAGATTGTAGGGAAAGCATTGTAAAATCACACACCTGCACACATCATTATTTTGAACGGTTAGAAGAGTCAGACAATAGCTCGAGGAAATGAACAGGTTTCATCCTTGTACGGTGTAAAAGTCTCAAACATTCAGCATCTAGCTTAGTAAGAGCCAAGCCTCTGCCCCAGGGCTGCTTATGGGGGAAACCTCCGCCACAAGATTCTTCCCGCATCTAATGAGTACCTGCAGGTGTTCAAAGGGATACAGATAATGCAGAGAGAAAAGCACTAGAGCATAAGAATACATCAAGAACTTTCCAAGATCAGACTTTAAAGCCTGGCTAGAGCAGAATCCCAGATCCCAAGTCTTGCCAATAAGAAACTCATTAGCCAGATGTGAGAGCAGTAGTCTTCTCCTGCTTTTGCTCCTCATTTTTATGGTACTGATTTCATAATCAAAAGAGTTGCAAAGAACCACAAAGGTCATGTATTCTAACCCTCTGCCATGCAGGAATACACAATTACAGCACTCCTGAAAGATGTCCATCCAACCTTCCTTGAAAGGTCTCCAAAGAAGGAGATCTTCTTCAAGAGTCATAGAATCATAGAGTTGGAAGAGACCTCAAGGGCCATCAAATCCAACCTCCTGCCATGTCAGGAATACACAATTAAAGCACTCACTACTGCACATACTGTATAACTCAGGGGTAGGCAACCTTTCCCCTTTAAGGGCCGAGGGACTTCAGCTCCCAGAAGCCTCAGCCATGTTGGCCAATACTCCCATGTTGGCCATTAGCTCCTGGGATTCTGGGAGCTGAAGTCCCTCGGCCCTTAAAGGGGAAAGGTTGCCTAACCCTGGTATAACTAAAGGGATCTTTTCAGAAAGAGTTTTGAACCATGACCATAGTATCTTCGGACCCAATCCCCCAAATCTTCACTTAGTGGGCAGCAGCCACTGTGAGCGGCAAAGGTCTATTCCCCTGTTGATCAGGAAGCATCTGACTGATATTTCCATCCCAATATGATCCTAGGCTGCATTAAAAAGAACATAGTCTCTAGATCAAGGGAAGTAATAGTACCACTCTGTTCTGCTTTGGTCAGACTCTTGTGTCCAGTTCTGGCTGCCACAATTCAAGAAGGATGTGAAAAAACTGGAGTGTGTCCAGAGGACGGTGACCAAAATGATGAGAGATCTGGAAACCATAAAGCCCTATGAGGAGCAGCTTAGGGAGCTGGGTATGTTTACCTTGGAGAAGAGAAGGTTAAGGAGTGACATGACAGCCATGTTTAAATATTTGGAAGGATGTCAGGTTGAGGATGGAACAAGCTTGTTTTCTGCTCCTCTAGAGACTAGGACACAGAGCAATGGATTCAAACTATAGGAAAAGAGATTCTACCTCAACACTGAGAAGAACGTCCTGACAGTAAGATGTATTCGCCAGTGGAAGATATTCCCTTGGAGTGTGGAGTGGAGTCTCTTTCTTTTTTAAAGAAAGACTGAATGACCATCTGCTGGGATGTTTTGATTGTGTATCGTGTGTTAACAGAATGAGGTTGGACTGGATGGCCCTTGGGATCTCTTCCACCTCTATGATTCTATTATTCTACTTCACAAACTTACAAATCCCAGGATTTTGGGACCCTAACAGTTAAAGTGCTATCAAACAGCTATAATTCTACAGTGTAGATATACCCTTGGCTTCTGCCAGTTATGTAAGTCAAGAGAGGAAAAAGGGAGAGATTGCTATTTACTGTTTACCATATAATCATTTCTCCTCTCCAAATTAACTTAATTCCTATCAAAGCAGAAATGATAGTGTTAAGCCACTAGTTAGATGCTTAGCCCATTGAGTTAGATCCTTAGAAATGAATGCCTGATTACCTGGACTACCAAATTGTTTGAATAGCGCTGATTTATTTAATTGTTGTTTCTTTAAACAAAAAAGTGAGTGTGGAGACATGTTGTGTATCAGTTGGAGCCTGGAATATTAGCTTGGGGGGAAAAGAGTTCGTGCAAATGAATTCTTGAAGAGTGTGTCATCCGAGCCTTCCGCATAGCGTTCCTCAATCAAAACGCATTGGGTGGCTTGCAGAACACAAGAAGAGAAATTTAAA